AGAAATCATTTTTGCCCATTTTGACACATTATGCACATAGGATATATAACTTGATACTGTTCTTGTACTAAATCATCTTTTGATCCACACCAGTTTATTGCTTTTTCGACAAGAATAATAAGCCACTTCTATTAGGCATGAGCATCTGATTCTTTCACGTATATATAACTGATTATATAAAGAATGAGAAGTTGATACCAATGAACTCCCACATATATAAGGCTAAGTTTGAATAGCTATTTTATAGGAAGTAATCTCTTCATTTGTTAATTTTGTATCACTAAAAAGACATCGTAATTTTCCACAATAATTACATTCTACAACATCACGAACTTTTGTATTAATATACATACTTGCAGATCCACGCTCTTCACGATTTTGAACATTAATCAAAGATGGTCTAAATTTTTCTGTAGTTACAATCTCATATAATGAATCGAAACTATCATAATGATCATTTTTTTCTATTGTTAAATATAAAGAAAATTAATTTAATGGTTTTATAAGAACATAATTTATAATTTATAGAAATATACCATTTGATTTTATTGGATCCGCTAAAAAATATAATGAATCAAAAATATTTAATGGTAATTTGAATAGGTTTACAAATATTACAGGATGGATCCTCGCATTTCTTGATCTATTACAATAAATATAAATAATATTAACAATGTTAATATAATAAAATTTTGCAAGTTCAAAATTTGTTATATTCTCACTTGAAAAGAATAATGTCTAATTCAGCAGTATGAATTGATAAATTGTTGCAAATCATAATGCTTTTGTAATATATTTTGTGTGATATCATTAATTCCAAGTGTTTCATTAATTATTAGCATACACTATAAAAAAATATATAAATTTATATCATCAAATATTTAAAATATACTAATAAAAATTTACTTTAAATAAATCTAAATTTTCTTTATCAATTGCCAGTGAATGAGTTTTAAATGGTTAATTATATAATATTAATCGCTTTATACAATCTTCTAATAATTGCTGAATAATTTTAATCAGTTTTTCAATTCTTCTTCTAATTGTGAATGCTTTTTCGCCTGTTTTCAAATTTCTTCTATTGTATCAATTTTTGAAAATAAAGTTTCCATTTCTATGCTAAACTATCTTTTACTAATGCTATACTTTGTAAAGCAAAATTTAATATCAATATAATCCTTTCTGCAGGATTTGTCTAACTCTAATATGATGCAGTTCTAACTGCAATTAGCAAGTCAAAATTACCTTGCAAAAATAAACAAATAAGTGCGATTTGCACTGAACTAAATATATATTCCCTATAAAAAAAGAATGTCTGGAATTTAACAGGAAAATGTATTGAAATAAATTCTGAACATTTCCATTGTCCGGAATATGTTTCAAATCTTGGTGGTTTCCAGACATTCATTTTGTCCGGAAAATGTCATTGTCTGGAATTTCAATGTTTGATTTCTTTAGAATGCAAAATTGGACATTTTCTGAACATTTTTCGGATAATTTCTGGATATAATCCTGTTTTCCAGACATTTTCCAGACATAATTATATTTTTCCGAATGTATTCCATTTTTCTGAACGTTTTTAGACATTTTCATTATTCATAATATCAAATTTATAACTTAATAATTTATT